GCTGCTTGGGGGTGCTGGGAGGGGTCCTTTCCTCTCTCCCTTGCCTCTGCGTCTGTCTGCCTTTTCCTTACCATCTGGCCCCCCTCTCCATGGATTCAGCTTCTTTCCTTTGCATTCAGGTTGCTGGCCTTACTCTCATTTGCAAGCTGAGAGGCATTAGGAGAGCGGGAAGCTCAGATAAGGGTGAGATAATTGCCTCTTATTGGTTTTTATGGCTCTTTCATGACCCGGAGGCCCCTGAAGGAGTGTTTGTTCACTGGGAGAATTAGACACTGCAGCCCTGTGTGGCTTCCACGGACAGCGGCTGGGAGAGGCTGCTCCGGGTGGTTACAGGGTGGGTCTGGGGCCTTGGCAGGCAGCAGGGAGGGTCACGGATACAGGAGGCACCCCCAGCCTTATTTCTTGCTGTGCCTTCCTTACATGCGTGTCTTGAACTAGAACTTTGCTCGTGTCCCTGCTCCCCCAACTTTATTCCTCTTCCCCTGCCTGGGAAGCCCTTTCCCCATCTCATTGGCCCCAGGAACACCTGCTCCAGTCTAGGGGGGCAGTGGAGGTGGTCCTGAGAGCAAGGCTTTGCAGGCAGATCTCCAAGGTTCAAACTGCCGCTGTGCCACTTGCTGGCCACGTGACTTGGGCAGTGGGGGTGGGCATGAAGTGACCTCTCTATGCTGTGCAGACCCCCATTCCCCAGACCAGGACACCAGAACCAGTACCTGGTCCGGTCGCTCACTGGGTTTTGATAAGGTGCAGCCAGGAGGACTGGGGTTACAGGCATGTACCACCATGCCTGGCTAATTTTTGTATTTTTGGTAGAGACAGGGTTTCACCATATTGGCCAGGCTGGTCTCAAACTCCTGTCCTCAAGTGATCCACCCACCTTAACCTTTAACCTTCCACAGTTCTGGGATTACAGGCGTGAGCTACCATGTCCTGCCTAAGAGAAACTTATTTCTCACAGTTCTCAAGGCTGGGCGGTCCAAGATGAGGGCGCCAGCAGATTAGTGTCTGATGAGGGCTTGTTTCCTGATCATAGATGGCGCCTTCTCACTGGGTCCTTACGTGGTGGAAAGGGCAGAGGAGCTCTCTAGAGCCTCTTCTATATGGGCAGTAATCCCACCCGTGGGGGCTCTGCTCTTAAGACCTAATCACCTCTCCAAAGGCCCCACCGCCTGATACTACCACCTTGGGGGTGAGGATTTGAACACATGGACTTTTTTTTGTCAGGGGAACACAGACATTCACACCACAGCAGTTGGAGACTTGAACTTATGCCTCTGAGTGTGCCGAGAGCTACTGCTCTCTTTCTTTTTATAAAGTGGTGGCTAAATAGGCAAGAGTTGAGGTGACCGTATGCCACAGCAAGCCTGTGATGTAGGCGAATGTCTACATGCAGGTCCTCTACTTCCAGGCGGTCTGGTTGAAACAATAGAAGCTTTGCAGGTAGACGTAGTCTAAGATCCCAGCTCCCACTCATTAGCTGAGTGATTTTTGGGTAAGTAATTGAACCTTTGTGAGGCTGTTTCCCCACTGTGAATGGGGGTAACAACACCCGCCTCCGGTGTATTCCTGTGAAATTAAATGTACAGGCCGGGCTTGTTGGCTCACTCCCAGCACTGTGGGAGGCCAAGGTGGGCAGATGACCTGAGATCAGGAGTTTGAGACCAGCTTGGCTAACACGGCAAAACCCTGTCTCTACTAAAATACAAAAATTAGCTGGGCGTAGTGGCGCATGCCTGTAGTCCCAGCTACTCGGGGCT